TGTTTTTAACAATTTCAAGATCTTGCCGGCTAAATACAGTGATCACCGCTGGTCACATTTGGCCATCCTGTCCCCTTGCATTGTCTCACGACCAACCGGTTTTGTCCAGAGTGACCTGAAAGGGGGCTCCTGTGCCCAGCAGTGACATAGTGTAAAACAAAACCACATCCACAAGCAAATGGCTGATCACACGGCTTTTTTTTGTCTTTGTCCTGATAACACTTTGCCAGATAATTCTAGGAGATCCAAATGCCAGAGAGACAAGGTGTGATTGCACAACAACGTGCACATGACTCTGTCTTCAGTCTAGTGCAAGTCTAGTAGTCGAGTCAAAATGGTAAAACTTTCATCTATTTCTTTTTCCCCCACCTGTCAGACGAACACAAATGTTATAAGCAAATTCACTCTCGGCTGTTTCTTGCTTCATCAAGCAAAAACATCACAGGAGAAATACCAACGGATGGGTCGTACGCATTCTGTGATATTGTATCAAGATCGGATTGGGATTTATGCGCTAATAAGTATTTGTATGGAGGGCGGGTGGGTGGAGGTTGGCATGTCCCACATTGATAGGATGCATGTGGTATTTATTCGTCCTTGTTTTATGATCAACACAGCCTGTGTCGCTCAGCTTGCGGCAACCTTCCTCCAAACTCCTCTCCGGAGAACCACTAAAGTCTGCGATGTGGCATCTAGTTTACTGTCAGCACGATTTGGGCAACTTCTGTTTCTATGGTAATTCTTTTAGTAATTGCTCCTTCGGCGCGTTAGTCATGTTATGAAGAAGCGGCTGCTGGCATTCGGATCACTTTGGTGTCAACGAGGCCTCTGCGATAGGCAACGTATGTCTTTTAGAATGAAGTTCAAAAATTCCTTTGCGGCTCTTCTTCCTCACTTTTTTTCACTGTAAATTAATTCTTGTTTCCCTCACTTGTTTTTCCACATTCTTCCTTGTACCTGGTTACCAATTCCTGTTCTCCAGCTCCCTTTGTAAACAGCCTCCCTCTTACTTTGACACATTTCTAATTCTTCACACATCCATTCCCGCTTTTCTCCTTCGATTACCTTTTCCTCAGTTGCACCTTTTCTTCGTGTGCCTGCGATTACACTAAACTAGACTGCACTATACATTACACTACACAACCCGACAATTCACGACCCTCCACTACACACTTTCATTTGCAACTCACATCTTCACATCTGTTTTTCCCCATTTACTTTTGTTCTACCCGCTACATATTTCCTATCACCTGTAGGTAACACTTTGGGCTCTTTATATCACCTCTTCCACCTCCTACGTCACTGTCTATCTCCTCTGCAGCGCTTCTCTCCTCAGCCTATTCCCTTTCCAATCTCTATTTCCTATGTCATTCTCCGAGGAATGCTCCCCTGTGCCAAACATTTTCATTCTCCGCCCTTCCTCGCCTGTTTTCTTCTTGGCTTTTTACCAGACCTGCGCATTTGATGACAACGACTTTAAAATCTCTATTCTTGTGAACCCTCACTAAAAATCTGCCACACCGTAACCCCAATCATTTCTCTTTACTCACTGAATTGCCAATTAGTCTTTTTGAGGGATACCCGCTCGCCTTTTTGACCTCTTCTTCCCACAGCTTTACCATAATGTTGTGTAGTGTAGTCTAATCAGAACTATGCCGATGGTGGATATAAATGCCCTAAAGTGAAGTCCAGGCAGGAGTGTTCCTCATTGTGAGTCAAATTGTTTAACAATACTGCCATCTGTTGGGGAAAGGTTTCACAGGCGGTTCAATCACGTCACAGACTTCAGACTCAAACATAAGGTTATAAAATGAGTACAGTACACCACTCCATTCCGCAGACAGGCGCAGAAAGAAAGTGCACGTGGCGACAAAATGGACATGGTGGTTTAATTTAACCCTTTCATGCACCCTGTATCTTGATAACACTGTAAGCTGTCTACTGTAGTAACCATTGTCCCTGAACTGGTAAATCATCTTTAGTTCTCGCCTCTCATTCGAGGTAATGGTACTTTATTTTGTCACATGTACTGCAATGTGCAGAGAAATACAGCCGTTGTATGTAATCCTCCCTGAGGAGCTTTGGGCGGCAACTGTGTCGGCTACGTGGCAAAAATCCAGATCTTGTGTCAGTCAGTATCTTAGGAGAGGGAACCGACTGGAAAGAACCCGTACACAAGTACACTGTTAAGGAAGAACAAGCAAAGCAAACTACACATAGAAAGGCCACAAAGTCAGTTAATGGCAGTCCAAACTAAATTCAGCCAAGGGCATTGTCGCTGTGCAGCAGAAAGGTGAACCATTCTTTGCTTTGAGCTGTTTACTTTTGAAACTGTTAAATATACCAGGTCATTGCAATGTACATAATTTCACAGGAAGCACGGTGGGCTAAAGTTCATCCATCTAAAATGTACTTACGATGGGAAAAATCAAAACATTTCTTGTGAGTAGCATGCCGTACTGTACTGGAGTCAAGTCTAAGAGAGTGCCTGGGCTTGTACAAGAAGTGTTTTCTGGTGAATAAGACAGGTTCTTTTTAGACTACGACAGTGATGATAATTTAACAGATTCATGTTGATTTTTCTGTAATTTAGGGGTGTTCCGATCATGGTTTTATGGTGCCGATTCCGAGACCGATCATCCATGAGTCAAATTGGCCGATACTGATTGCGGTACTGATCACACGGATTAGATGCACATTTTTCAAATTTAGAGTGGCTCACTAACGACTATTTAATAATCGATTAATCTGTCAACTTTTGTTTTCCGATTAATTGATAAATTGTTGTTCACTCTAATCCAAAGCCGTACACTATACTGGTCACTACATCTAGACAATTAACCGTTCACATTCACATCTGTAGGCAATTCAGAGTCTTCAAGTAACCAAACAAGTATGTTTTGGGGACATGGTAAGAAACGACACCCAGATCTTCTGACTCACTCCTGACTATGAGACAGATAGGCAACCGTGATCGTTATTGTACTTCTTGATTTTGAGTCACTGTTTTTTCAAATGGTTGCACCAACTACAAATCTTTAGCGCCTCTATGAAAAAGAAAAGCTTCTTGTCCTGCTCTGCGCTTTGAAAGAAACACTTGATGGACTTCAATTTTCAAACTTCTGAGGTGGGGGTTTCAAATGCACATAGGATGGCTCGAGATCAGCAAAGTCACAAATGGAACAGGGCCAGTTTTAATGTTGTAATTACTTTATTGAAAATTTAGTTAGTTAGAATCATTCTAGTAGTGGCACTGCATTGGCTTTACTTTGTTCTACATTGGAGAGATTTCCATTCGGTCCCATACAGTAAATCGGTCAAAAGGCTCCATGCTGCACATACGGATATATTTTGCAAAGACAATGATGAGAGCTCAACTTAATGTCTTAAGTGTGGCAGTTTAAAAGTCAATTGGTTCATCTTACATCTTTCAACACAAGTACAATGAGGGGAAAAGGTACCGTATTTTCCGCACTATAAGGCGCTTCGGAGTATAAGGCGTACCTTCAATGAATGGCCTATTTTAAAACAGTTTTCATATATGGGCACACCACATTCCAAGGCGTATAGAATAGAAGCTACAATCGTGGCTGCAGTTGCGTTATGCATCCACTAGATGGACCAGCGCTAAAGGGAATACAGTACCAAAAAAATGCAGCTTTATTTATATAGAGCTTTGACAACCGCTGCAGCTGTAATGAAGCACTTTCCATAACATTTAAAATACTACGTCCAAGAAATCAGAATATTGATCCATGTATAAGGCGCATCGGATTATAAGGCACACTGTCCACTTTTGAGAAAATTGAATGTTTTTTAGGTGCGCCTTACAGTGCGGAAAATATGGTAAATATTCTTAGGTTGCACATGATTTAAACATGCGAAACTAAATTTTCCCTGCTTTTCCTCAAAAATGAGATAGTTTATGTTAGTTTGACACATTTTAATCATGCACATGTTGAAATTAAGTAATTCGAATTTGTTTTTTTTTTCAGTATGTGGATACACAAAACAAGTGATGTTTATCGAGCTACATGAGGGTAGAATGAGATGCAGAGAGGCGCAAACACATGAGCACTGTACATATGGTCAACTTTGTTATCTGACCTTTATGAATGGCTTCTGTTCCAAGTGGGAGGGAGCAACCAGGGAGGAGCGATATCCACTCACATTTTGCAAGTGTTCTCTTTACATTGTGAAACGCTCACTCAGCAATGTCTCAAAAACAAAACCATCTGTTTCAGGCCTGATGTGTCAACGACTACAATAAAGCAGTACGCTGATATGGGTCATTCCTGTCCCCATTCAACTCACAACCTCAAGTGGTATATATGCATAGTTATCAGGAGAGTAGTATGCAAGTTATGTGTTCGCTGGTTTCATAGTCTTGAAACCAAAATATCTCGCCTTTGGTGACATTTTGACAGGCAATTTTACGTTTTCAGTGAATAATTTTTACATGTATCAGTTTTTTTAATGCTGCAAATAGAATAACACTGGTCTGCATCAAAAAGTGTACAAGAATGACACATATTTGCTCAAACTTTTTTTTTTTGCGCTGTAGACAATGGTACTGTTTATTTTGGTCCATTTGCTCCAGTTTTTCAACTACACGCTGTTATATATGCTCGTTTTTTTTTTAGGCCGTTTTGGTAGGCTACTGCTAAGTTACTACTAACTGCTCCAACTTAGCATTAGTAGATGTGTTTATGTGTGTGTGTGTGTGTGTGTGTGTGTGTGTGTGTGTGTGTGTGTGTGTGTGTGTGTGTGTGTGTGTGTGTGCGCGTGTTTGTGTGTATGTGAGTGTGTGTATGTATGTATATATATATATATATATATATATATGAACACACAAACATTCAGGTGTTTCATTTACATGTTCTTGTAGCAAAAAAAAAAAAAAAAGGATCACATAGAGAAAAACGAATGAGACATTTGGATTCGACATCCAAAACTGCCCTCTCAAAATGTTGGCTGCTTCGTTTACGCATATTTACTTATTTGTTTGATGCAGACCAGCGGAATGATCAATCCACAACATATGATGTGGAATAAGAAAGCTGGCGTTCCATTGCTTGACAGCAGATACATGATTATCCATTCCAAAAATGCAATGTATGAATGTGTACGGCATTTTGCTTTTAGATTGCTACATAATAAGGCACAAAGTTAAGCGCAGCTTTCGAAAATATACTTGCACATGAACATTTATCTGAAAATATAGAAAGACCACAATTACGTATTATGTATCTTCAGGATTATGATTCCTTCACTTTGTCATCATAAGAGCCGCTCCCCTTGTAAGCTGCGACGTAGCCGCTCGTGTCTGGGATGTCTTCACGTCCAACCTTTCCCTTCCCTTTGCCCGAATCATCGAATCGCTCCTTGTGTGTTCCTGTGTACTTGGACGTGTCGGTCAGTCTGTCCACAGCCGCTGCCTTTGCCGGTCTCTATAAAATCATAAAATGAGTGCTCAAACAAAGAATTCAATTGACCTACCGGTATATTTATTCCTCGACTCAAATGTCAAAATTGACTTCTGCAACTACCGTGACATGTTTTCTTTAGAATAACTTCAGTGATTTAAATTGATCGACATAATGAAGATTACATCTCCATTGGCTGCCCATAACTTTATGAACAGTGTTGGGCAAATACTTGTAAAAATGTACATTACTACGGAAGCATGGAGCTGCCAATTGTGGAGTCAAAATATTTTGGCTGGCAAATATATTCCAATGTACTGGCAAATATGTTGTAACACATTTAAGTACGTTCCAACGTACTCGCAAATATATAGTATTTTCCCATAATACCACGGGGTATTGATTTCCTCATGCCCAAACCCCGTGACATGATGGGGTAAAGAAACAAACATAAATACTTTATTATTACACCAACATCAATGCATTTGAAAAGTAAGTAAGTACACATTGTTTGTTTTTTATTGTGGGTGTAGTGCATGATTAATGTTCGGCCTGCTTTTGCCACGACGTATTGACGGATTTGCTCAAGTAAAAAAAAAAAAAAAAAGAAAAAAAAAACATTTCACCTACATTACACTGACACGTTTTAAAAATTAAGCCTGTAAGTAAACATTGTTTATTCATAATTGTATGTTTTTTATGGCTTCAGTGCATGATTTACATTGGGGTTTTTTTTCCCCACAGTTCCACACAGTACACACATGTGCAAGTCAATAGCTCGTGGCAATATGGGGCAAAATGCAGAACGTAAATCATGCACTACACACATAATGAAATAATAACATACGGAATAATGAACAATGTTTACTTACTTAATTTTTTACCGCATTGGTATACTGTCAACTAAATGCTAAAAAACAGTTTTGTTTTTTTTGGTTTTTTTTTACTGGAATTAAGGGAAAAATGCTACGTTTGTAGCATTTAGCATATGAGTACATTCGAATGTATTTATGAGAATGAACGGATTTGCGAGGATGTTCGAACGTACTTGCGAGTACGTTTGCACGTATTCGCCAGTCAAAACATTTTTACTCCACTTTGGCAGCTTCACGCTTCCGTACATTTCTCTTCTTTGAAAAAGAAAAAAAAAAAATCCCTTCCAGTCTTGATATGCTTTACCGAGGCCTTGTTTCAGAAGATGTATTTTGGCCATATAATATTGACTCGTTCTAGTGATTATCTGGCTCTTTATAAACTGAAAAAAAAGATCATTTGGGCCAGCAATGCATGTACACACCCTGAATGACACATGATGAATCACAACCATATTAGTGGTTCTGCCATCATGATTCATGTCTATTTTGTCTAATGAGGTATCAGCAGTCTCTGAGAAGGCAGCCAATGAAGGCACAGGCAGTTGCGTATAGATTTTGAAGTGTATTCAAGAGCACAAAACTTGGACACGGGCCATTGAAAAGGCAACATCAGCTCACTCCAAGGTTTAACCCTTTCATGCACCCTGTAACCTCATAACATGAGAAGCTGTCCACTGTAGTAACCTCTGTCCCTGAAAGGGTTAAAATCATTTGTAGTCCAAGTCACTGAGATTGTAACAGGCTTCATTTAACTGAAATTGAAAAGCAAAGTCTCATCGCTTCTGTGTTGTAACTCATCCGGAGCCTCTTCAGCCACACAAGGAGGCATGAGTGCAGTGGAACTAATGACAATGTACTCACAGTGATTCCAGCATTGGCAGGCTCCTTGCCAACAATGAGACCATAGAGGAGCTGGAGCGCTTCCTCTTTGCTCTTGCCTTTGAAGCGCTTAGGGCCCAGCTCAGTCAGAGCCATGATGAACTGCTCAAATGTGATTACACGAGCTGACTTGGACCTGAGGAGACAAATAAAGCTGTTGTCGGCTGCTCTGAGGAAAATCTTTCGGGTGCCAGAGGACGGATATGCAATCATATTCTTTTTTTTGTAATGCAGAAATGTGAAATTGCAACGAGCTCCTGAAATAGTCAATGTAATCTTCGTGTGGCACCTGCGTGTGTTTAAATAAATTGAAATAATTTCCGTGATTTGCCATTAAGGGTGGTCTACTCTGGTGGCAAAGAAAAAGAAAAACACATTTCAGATCAACAGTAGCCAACTCACGGCTTGCTCACAACAACTGTTCTTTATATGTGGAGTGAGGAATTCTTCGCATTGCATCTGTGAAACTAATATGTGGCCAACCATTAATTGTGACGGTGTGTTTTTTTTTTAATGCTTCTTTCCTGGTGATCTGCGTGGCTCTTTTTAATTTGTAAATTTAAAAACTGCAGAAATTGAGAGTGAATTCCAAATTGACCTGTTTCACAACTTCCACTGTTTTACTGGTCTCTGCAAAACAGCTGCATCAGAGCCGTGTCAATAAACCTCCATTTTTAATTTTTTTTTTTTAACATAGAGCTCAGCAGAGGTAGGATATTGCCGTTTGTACTTTTACACAAAGACGCAGCATTCCACGGCATCCCATCAGATTTGTGCTGTGACGTTAAAATTGCTTTCAACTCAACAGTGCAGACTAAATGAGTATTGAGTGCGAAACGGGAATCTGTGACTGGCTTGTCATGTCAACAGTCTGTGACCAATTTTGTTGCTCTGTTATGACTGCGAGACAACTTTCTCTCCTAAGGACGCTGCATCGAAAAACATTACTTGACTTTGGTGAAGACGATGTCAACGTCTGTGGTGGTGACATTCTTGCCGTCAGTGATGAGACAGTCCTTGCAGATCTTGGCAAAATTCTTGCCGTTCATCTCCTTCCCCGTCGCCTTGCTGTCACCATGAACGGCAAACTTTCGGAAGGACGTCTCCACCTCTGATGTCGACACAGGGCCGTCAGCCATGCTGACAAACACACACAGTGGAGACGCAGCTTAGTACTCTTTGGGGGACTCCCGTTTTTGCTGAGCAAAATCTTTTCCAAACTCGATGGGCATGTCAATCAGTTCAAGTGAGCATTTTGTCTCACTCAGAATTTGTTTCGAAGCACGCAGGCGCAGTTTCACATCCATCACTGTGATGTTTGTTACGGAAGCTGATGGCAGGCCAATTTAATTCAATCATCTTCATTTCCTAATGGCCCCTGTGCTGCTCATTCTGCAGAGGATGCACAGGAAAGGTGATTTACTTTGGTTTTTTTCCCTCAACTCGGGACACAGACGCAGAATCAACCATCGCTTGTTCTTTTCTCATTGCACTGATACTGTATCCGTTTTTAGTTACGCAGATTGTATTTTTCCTAAAATTAGATGTAACTTAACGTCACCTCGTTGATGACAGAATAGATTAGCTGACTAGGATATTCAAACATACCCGATGGTAATAGTGACTGAGAAAAATAAAAACAGGAAAGTAGTAGTAAGTCGGTAAATAACACCAAGATACAATTCTCAACATTAATATGCCCATGTCTTATTTTGTGTTGCCGGAGCAAAGAGATGGCAAGCCTTTTCGATTGGGAGATAAACAATGTCACAATGTCCTCGTTACAGTATTCCCTGTTGCATCGTCCCTCAGGGCGTCCACTGCAAAAACAACATGAAGTGTACCTGCTGCTGGAGGCTGCAGGATGCTTGCCAGTGGCGAGTTGAAGGAAATCCCGGAAATCGCTTACGGCTGCTCGACCTTCTTGTCCTCCTTCTTCCTCTTTTTCTTCCACTTCCTTTCCTCCTCTCTGCCACTCCCAGGCTCTTGAGCGGTGACGACATCGATGCTGATGCGTGGCTAGGAGGAGGAGGAGGAGGAGGAGGGAGAGAGTACCACCCAGCACCATCAGTGACATCACTGCGACTCAGCGACTCTTCTGTCTGTTTGCGCTCATAAAACAGGCTGTGTATTATGAAGTCATTTAGTTAGTATTATTCTTATGGACAGCAATTTTGTGACCCGCCGTACTCCACTGTTCTGTTTTCCGTGGTACAACTACCCTGTTATACTGTCCATCAGTCCTAACTTTTATTTGGGCCCAAACCTTCAGTTCTTCTTCTTATGATGATGATGATATTAATGATGATGATGATGATTTGAGCCATTCAGAGGCAGAGTTTCTCTTGTTTATTTATTTTTTTATTATTATTGACTTGCTGTACAAGTTAAGAGTTCTTCAGCATGACAGCACAAATTGATGGCTGGTGCTTCTGATTGCTGCTCTTTGGACTTTCGGCTTGTCCCATCCGTGAATAACATTGCCATAGTGAATAGATGGCATCATTTTTTGGGGCATAGTTTTTGCTCCAGATGCCCTTCCGAAGGCAATTCAACCATTTTCTAGTCCTGGCATGAGAACGACTGGCTGGGAATTGGGCCACTGGAACTGATTCAAAATCTGGACCCCTGACCTCTGGCGCACATGCTAACTAACCAGTTGTGTGTGAATGTCAGTATCATTTTTAAGAAATAAAATAATTCCGTAGAAATTGCATTTTGTATTTATTTGGGTTTTCTTTATGAGGTATGAAAATTGGTTTGATGATGCAAAAAAGTTAAGTGTGATACTATGCAAATTTGAACTCAATCGGTTCAGTAAGTACAGTATTAGGTACTAGTCAGAAATTGTAATGTCAAAACGTCTATCATCCGGAATAATCTTAAAATCGTTTTATATATTAAGATTTTGGCTGTGCTTCTTTTCACATATTTTTATCCTTGGTGGAAGTTCTGTGATGAACGGTTCTACATCTTGGTCAAAGGACTTTTTTTGGTTTGACTTGCTTTTTGGTCACACAGTCAGAATACGGTAGCTTCTTTGCACTTCGACTCGTCTATCTACCGTCATCTCCTGTCTTGCATCCTAAGAGAGCATCGGAGCTGGGTTGCCCTCCTTTAAGCATCATGTTATCGCTGCTGTTTACTCTTTCTGACAGATGCTCGCACAGCCCGACTCCCCGCCCAGCACTCGTTTGTTTCCACAAACACATCAGAGGAATCCGGTGCATGTGACAGACCTCCATCTCATCACAGCTGTTATACCACATGCTCCTCATGACTCATCCGAGAAGTTCCACCTACATACTCTACTTTAGCAACACCTCCACCAACTGATTCATCCATAACCTCAGTTATTTTGGTTCTGTGCAAAGCACGCTGCAGATGGTCTCACAAATTGTAAACGTCAAATTCTTCATCGTCAACTTGTATGGCCCACAAAATTGTTCTTCTGATCCAAGGAAACAAGCTGTAAAATGATCCTGGACAAGGGCAAGTAATTCAAGGCCTCTAGACACCAATCCCATGTTAGGCGTCGGGAAATCGGAAAATGCCGTCTGCTTGGTGTAGAACGCACCGTCGTAAAGTCTAGGGGGCACGTTCGAGGGGTACTACTACTCCTGAATGCGCAGCAGGTTGTCGTCTCCGCTGGTTTTGCAGTGTGCACGTCGCGTCATTTTCCAATCCGAAGTGCCCACATATGTCATATTCAGCATAAAGCATTAAACATTTGATTCTGTTTTATTCTGTGTATCAACACTTTTATAGTGTATGCATTAGCATACTTTGAAATGTAATATTTTAATAACAACCAGAGAATATATATGGAGGACATTGGAATCTTTTTAATAGATTAACCCATTTGTATACGGTGTTATTTTGCTGCCAAATGCCCGCTTTGCACACGTCGTAGTCTAAATCCTGCGTACTGTCACCTTGCACTGTTTGTCCACATTAGCATGTATTTGCGTGGGTGCCCACATCCTGACAGCATATTTTCTGTTCAGGGTAAACAGAGTTGTTTTGAAAACATGCACCACCACGAAACTCGCTGCTCAGTCACATGGAAACTGGGAAACAGCTGGAAGCGGAGGAACACTCATTTTGCTGAGAAACTGTTGCATAAAACCCACAATAAGAGAGTCGTGTGTACGTTCTCAAGGGAGCGTGTATCAAGGCGCCTCAAACCGAGTCGCAATTCAAGCCTGTTCATTTACAGTACATTGCAAACATCTTGCGTTGCCGCTGATTTAAAGACCTTTTTCACAGTCAATCATTTTCACATCACAAAACTGTAAATAGTAGGAACATGCAGATGTTAGCAATAACGTGGGTTACGGGTTCCATTCATTTGGGTTTTAGAGATAGCTTTTCGCAGCATTTTTGTTGCTGCACATTTTCTTCTGTTATAATGGTCGGGAGGAAAAGCAGCATGCACAAGTGATTGATATAGACCGCACGATTTTTTTCAAAAAAATGCGTACCGCAAGAAGCAGTGTATGGATCATTAGTGCAATCGCACATTCATCACTGATTTTTTTTTTCCAATAGTCCGAAAAAAACCCTAAATCAATCGTTTTTTGGAATTTCTAAATGCATGCTTTGTTCCCACAAAATTTAAATGTACAGTACAGTATCTTGTTGAGCTGTGCATTACTGAGTAAACTTAAATGTCCAAAGATTGCTGACTGCTACTTTAACTCGACATTCGGGAAAAGGCACTGAAGGTGAGAAGATGCATGCTATCTGCTTGTAGTGTACACAAAACCTCCCCTTCTTTCAATGTCAGCATAAAAAAGCAGAGTGTCATTGTGCTTGGGTCACTCCAGCTCTGTTTGGTTCAGATACTTCTTGATTTTACAACAGACCTATTAGGGACTTCATCAGTAAAAAAAGGGTCTGCTTCAATTTCTTGTAGGATTATTATGGCTGAGTCGAGTTTCCCTTTACCCCCAGAAGCCATCTGCCCTCTTTGTGTGGATCCACAGAGAGACCCGGTCACTATCCCATGTGGGGACACTTACTGCTTGGATTGCATCAAGATCTACTGGGATCAGTTTGACCATATGGGGGTTTACAGCTGCCCTCAATGCAGAGCAACCTTCACACCGAGGCCCGTGCTGCGACGCAATCTACCGGATGTCTATCACGAGCCCCGCCGCCAACTTCCAGAGCTCACGCCTTTCCCCTACATGCATCGGGAGTCCTTCTGTGATTTCTGCGTGGGTCGCCGCAACAAGGCGGTCAAGTCCTGCCTCATGTGCCTGGCTTACTACTGTGAAACCCACGTCAAACCACATTACGAGTCGTCCACCTTCAAGCGTCACAAGCTGGTGGACGAAACTGGCCACCTGGACAGGAAGATCTGCCCACAGCACGAGAAGGGCCTGGAGCTGTTCTGCCGCTCAGACCAGATGTGCATTTGTGTACTGTGCACTGTTCGAGAGCACCGCAGCCACAATATCACCTCTGCGGAGGAGGAGCGCATCGACAAACAGGTACAATACAAGGGTCTCATTTAAACTGTGAGTCCACAAGACATTCTGGACTGGCTGTGAAAAATCACGCCTGGTAATTAGCTGGGATATGGCAATCATTATCCAAAACAGCAATGATTGTTTACCTTATTTAGTCGTCATCGGTCAAACTAAACATCAATTATTGGACACAGTAGCAAGAATTCTTCTCTCTACATCACTGTCTAAGACGTCTTCAACAAGTTTGGGTGGTTGCACTGATCAGGCACTGGCCAAAAGTCATCTTGAATGAATGACTGAATGAAGATACGTATTGGTTTTGCTCCATAAGTTAAAACAATGCAAAATCTAAATATGCTCAACCTACAGTCACTCCAAAGGGAAAAAGGAGGAGATGAGATTTTAAAAGTTCTTCTTATCGTCTTTTCACTTTGTCAGAAAGTGCTGGTGGTGACGCAGTCCGAGGTCCAGCACATAATTCAGGAGAGGATGAAAGAGCTGCAGGAGCTCAAGCATAATGTTGATGTTCTCAAAGTAAGACCGGTCAAACTTAACACTCCTTCACACAAAGCAAGTCATGCCAAGCATATATTTTGATGTACCTTAAGCATGCTGACAAAGTGCCCTTGCCTGATAGAGCTGCGCCCAGCGGGCCCAAGCCGAGAGTGATAAGACGTTTCACGAGATGCTACAGGCGGTGGAGCGCTGGAAGGCTGAAATCCATCAGATGATAACAGCCAATATGCAGGCGGCCATGTCCCAAGCTGACAGCTACGTGGAGCGTCTGGAACAGGAGATACTCGAGCTGCAGAGAAGAGATGCGGAGCTGAGGCAGATTCTTGAAACAGAAGACAACATTCACTTTCTGCAGGTGACTCACTGTCATTCATTACTTCATAATTTGTGTATGAATTTAGTATATGAGGCTGTTGTGCCAGCAGCGCCCTTTAGTTCCTTTCATCAAACTCCAATTCATTTCCCTTCTTGATGTAGTCTCCGTGGACAGGTGTGAACAGAGCAAACAAAATCAATCTGTCTGAGAATTCCTAAAGTGGTGGTCTTGATACAGTGCGTCCACAAATCAATTGCACCTAATTATTCATCCCCTAACTTGATTAATTGAGTTATAACGTCAGTGGGGATTCGTAAAACACCTGTGAACAATTGCTCAAGTAAGTGTGGGTTAGTGAGGTTAGTGATGATCCAAAACGTTAGGCAAGGCTTTTGGCTGTAATGTTAGGCAGAACCTAAAATGCACTATGACCTAAACAGGTGATCTGAATTTGACTCTCTCAAAACTTTAGAGTGGACATATCCCACTGTTTAATGTTTGAGTACTTTCAGCTCAACTTGCTGTTCTCCAAAGCAAAATTTACAATGGTTGTTTGTGTGTTCCACTAATCAACGAACATACATTTCAGAGGACGTCCACTCTTTTTTTCTGTGACTCTTCTGGTCTCTCTGAAACTCTCTTGTAACCTGCTGATCTCGCACTTGCTCAGTGACTACTTCCCTCTGAGAACATCTCGTTTGAAGCCCCATAATGGTGAAGTATGTACATACTGTTGGCCACACAGCAGAATTGGCTAAAGCCGACATCAGACTACACGTATGTAGCCTGATTCTGAGCCAACGGACCT